CTACTGATAAGGAACAAAAAAAAAAAAAAAAAGGAGGTAAGCTCAGTTTAAACACTTGTAAGACAGTACCTGGATCCTAAGTCTTCTCCTTCAGTCTCCTGAGTCTGGAATCTGTGTCCTTGATCTTTAGAACCAAGCAAGAAATTTGTGAAGTCTCTACAAAGCTACACCACCAGCGCGGGCAAAGAAAACGCTTTCAAAATATGTCATTCATCGTCACATTTAAAGGCAGTCTATGCATACATCCTTGGTAAACATCATTAAACAGTGCTGCTCTACACTTCAATCATATCAGGTAAGCGTTCTAATGTTGAGACAAAGGGGGTAGTAAAGGAATCCTTTTCTTAATTTTTAATCAAGTCAGTTTGATTACTTCTGAGTCTGAAGTTGCTATTTGTTGAGCAGCTTTTAGAAAGCCGCCTAGTGCCCTGAATTAACCGGCTTCTAGCCAAATCAGGGTTAAGGAGAGAATGTTTCTTATGCCTGCAGTGACAAACGAGTTACCAGACGTCCTTAAGTAGATTGTCAAACTTTTATGTTTACTCAGTTTAAACACTAACGGGAGAGGATGGCACAGATGAAAAGTCAGGTCTGTTTCTTAAGAAGGATGGCTGACGGAGAAAAGACGCTCACCTGTCCATAACAGAGGCGGGTCTTTCCCGGCTGTCCTCACTGGGGGATGGGATGGACATCGCCGGACCTTTGTCCTCAGGACCTGGGCATTGGGGGAGGGGCGACTTTCTGGGACTAGTGCAGGCATCTGCACCCCAAGAAACTACTGGCGATTTTGACTTCAGTGATTCTCCGGGGCTGAAGCTTTGGAGGGGGCTCTCCCGCTCAGAGAGGTGCTTGCTGTTCACAACCTTAGGCACCTCCCCCGCAGGGAGGGCGGAGGGGGTGGCTGACCCCCATTCTGAGTTAGGGGTCCCTGTCTTTCGCAACTAAACCCGAACGTCCGGTTGGGCTCGCCCTGCGGCGAACAGGGCCTGGGCAAGCTGGGGCCGCGGCGGGCGCAGACCGACCCCGTCTCCGTTCAGCGTCCCCGCCGCGTCCGCACCGCCACCGTGAGGCTGAGCCGGGGACGGTGCCCCGTGGCGGCGGCAGCAGCGCCAGCTCTGCGCTCCTCTCCCGCGCCGCCCTGGTCGTCGCCGAGCCGGGCACGGGGCGGGGGGGGATTTTTCCCGTTTCCCCCCTCTTTCGCGCTCTCGCTCCTTTGCAGCGGGAGAGCCCGTGGAGCCAGGGAGGGAGCGAGGGAAGGGGTGGAGGTGGCGGGGGGAGGCCGGAGGGGCGGATCCTGCCGGGGGGCTGATCCCTCCCTCCCCTCGGCCGGGCTCCGTGGCGGCGGCGGCGGCGACGGCGGCGGCTCCATTCCCCCTCCTCCCC